TTCCGTGACCGTCAAAAGGATCTTGTCCCATTCTTCTTCATGGAAGATGATCGTGTAGCCTGCAACAACATCGATGGTGCGATGGCAGCCCTCAACATCGTTTCATGATCCAGATGAGTGGAAACTGTTCATTGATTCATCGAAGATGAGTCTTGAAGCTGTTTCGCTGCATAATGGCAATGTTTTGCCATCAATTCCAGTTGGCCATGCAGTCCATATGAAGGAAACCTAGCATAACACGAAACAACCTTTGAGGTGCATAAACTATGACCAACATCAGTGGCAGCTTTGTCGCGACTTGGAGGTTGTTGCTTGGTCTGCACACTGGATACACAAAGTACTGCTGCTGTTTTCTCTGCGAATGGGATAGTCGTGCGAGAGATTCCCACTACATCAAGACAGATTGGCCACTCCAACAGTCATTGAAGCCTGGGAGGAAAAGTGTTCAGCATTCACCGCTTGTTGAATCGAGGAAGATTTTGTTACCACTCTTGCACATCAAGCTGTGTCTGATGAAGAACGTTGTCAAAGCCATGGACAAACACAAGCAGCGTTCAAGTACCTCCGTGGAAAATGACCAAGGTAAAGTGAAGCTAAGATAAAGGAGGGTGTCTCTTCTTTGGTTCTTTCGGTAAAGTCGCGTAGAATGAGAATAAAATAATAAAATTAAACAATAAAATTCTCACGACGTTTCGGCCACAACACAAGTGGCCTTCTTCAGGTGAAAGGAACAAACCTGTCGGGACGACAGAGCTACAATGAACGCTGCTAAGATTCGCGGCGTCTTGTAAGCTGGTTGAGAGAAGTGAGGCACCTTGACAAAGGGGTTTACATATCAAACAGGATAATTTAGCATTGAAACAGTTGAGGGATTAGCTTGTGACTGGTCACAGAAATAGCTGTGTTCAAGTCAAAGCCTACACATCCACAGAGGCACCTAGTGCATGGACGCCAAAGGGGCTGCAACAACTCAACTATCATACAGTAAACCGATGTGAAAAAAACCTAAGTCTAAATTACATCAATATAATAAATGTGCTCAATATATTCTTCAATAAGCAGAGCTATTAACAGGAACTGGGTATACACTACACTATATAATGAATACCATATAGTAAACAGATAAAAAAACTAAAATATAAACGACCTCAATGTTATCAATAAACTCTATATATGCTCCAATCAGCTGAGCTACCAACAATAAGTCCTTATATATGTCACCATGCTATATGGCGAAAAAATGGGTGGATTCTTACCCTCCACATCAGCACCACGGACCGCTACGAGCCCCGTTCAGACGGACGAGTCCATCATGGTCGGAACAGAGGAGAGAAATAGCTGCGAGGCGCTGTAATAATCATGTTATAAACCATACCATTAACCGTGGTGTGAGAAGTATTAAGAGTCAATGCCAGCGAAAAGAGCTGCGGTCTGAAGGTCACCATAAAATAATTAATTAAGAACCGAAATGGTTTAAAACATCTTTCCAATGTATATTCTTAGTTTTTTCGGTAAAGTCACGTTGAAGGGAAACAACAAAATAATAAAATATATATAAAACAATAAAAAATTCTCACGACGTTTCGACCATAACTCAAACGGTCGTCTTCAGGTAGGCGACCGTTTGAGTTATGGTCGAAACGTCGTGAGAATTTTTTATTGTTTTATATATATTTTATTATTTTGTTGTTTCCCTTCAACGTGACTTTACCGAAAAAACTAAGAATATGAATTACTGCAGTCACGAAAACTTCAAATCAAAATCTTTCCAATGGTTACTAACCCAGAATCCACCTTCTCGGTTGAAATTGTCTCTGTGCTTGTATATGTGGATGGCCTCATGAACGAATCTCTCATGGTAGCCGGTTGGCTTGCAAAGAACCTCCAACTTGGAGAAGTCAACGTCATGTGAGCCCACTGAATTATAACAGTGATCTGCCACGGCAGAGCACTCTCATCTCGATTGTTTTTCCCACCGAACTACGGAGCAGTGAGCGACCAGCATGGCGAGCGATTTCACCCAGGACATCGCAACGATGGAGAAACGCAATCGGGCCAAATGGAGCCCATCAATGCTTGCAGACTATTGCTGGACAGTGTCAAGGGATGCTCCATTTAATGAATGCAAGAGACAAGCCAAGAAGCGCCAAGTAGACACTGAATGAGGACTAAACTATGTACTTATATATATACATAATAGTCTTTTGCCTTTTGTTTCAAAATACATTTTATTACACGCTTTTATTTAACTCACTGTCTGTTGTTATTGTTGTCGTATCCTCAAATCTTGTCACTACATTTTTACCCACTTTCCAATGTGGTATCGACTGCAAACGTGGTATACTTGTGTCATATTGATGACAATACTATATTCTATCATAAAAATAAAATAAAAAACATGTTGTAAAACATTCTCTTTTATATGTTATGTTTCGGCTTGGCTCTTAATTGTCCACGCTCAACTCACGCTGGCTGTAAATCAGCACGGTCTCTTACGTTGTGGCAAGCTTCGGTGCCACTTCCTCGAGTCGTGGAGTTCTGCCATTACGAGTACGGTACATTTAATTAAAGCGTGTTTTATTAAAAAATATATATATGTTTAGATATTTCTTACTTATACAACCATTTTGCTGTTTTTTTAAGTGTTACATGAATAAGACAAGTGACATGTTATCATGTAAAGCAACCATAAACATTAAAATAACTAGGTTTACAATTTATGAGTAAAACTATACAATATAGACGTAAAATGTGAAAACTTGAATATCTTGGGAACAGTAGCCAATCAATTCTAGATTTAAAGCTTTCGTGACTGCTAGGATCCATACTCTTTGGTTCTATTGGGTAAAGTCACGTAGGTGAAAATAATGTTATTTTATTTTCACCTACGTGACTTTACCCAATAAAACCAAAGAGTATAGTAGCCAATCACTTGTTTTCATTGTCATATTTGAATTCAGCACATCAAAATCCATAACAAACGGCACATTTCATCTCTGAAGCAGACAACGTCTAAAAAAATTGTAGACCAGTGTTATAGTCAAAGATCGCTGTACTCTGGATGGCTTCTTAACAATAAAGCTCGTTATTCTTAGTTTTTTCGGTAAAGTCACGTTGAAGGGAAACAACAAAATAATAAAATATATATAAAACAATAAAAAAAATTCTCACGACGTTTCGACCATAACTCAAACGGTCGTCTTCAGGTGTGTTGGTTCGCATAAATTAATTAATTAATTATTCAATTGACTAATTGATTAATTGATTAACTAATTGATTAATTGATTTATGCAAACCAACACACCTGAAGACGACCGTTTGAGTTATGGTCGAAACGTCGTGAGAATTTTTTTATTGTTTTATATATATTTTATTATTTTGTTGTTTCCCTTCAACGTGACTTTACCGAAAAAACTAAGAATATGAATTACTGCAGTCACGAAAGCTTTAAATCAAAAATAAAGCTCGGTATTGATAATAACGGCGACAAAGGGCGGGCAGGCAGCCACGAAGCCCCACGACCTCGCTCCAACTTCACGACGTGGCTTCACTGTCCCAAGACAGCGGGAAGAGAATGGCTCCGCCCCTTCTTAACACGGCGACAAACTTTTGATTTAAAGCTTTCGTGACTGCAGTAATTCATATTCTTAGTTTTTTCGGTAAAGTCACGTTGAAGAGAAACAACAAAATAATAATATATATATAAAACAATAAAAAATTCTCACGACGTTTCGACCATAACTCAAACGGTCATCTTCAGGTGTGTTGGTTTGCATAAATTTATTTTTAAACGGCGCATTTATTTATTTATAAAAAAACGTTAGCGTCACGCGCAGCGATTTGGCAGTTTGCCCAGGACTAGTCCATCTATATTTTGAAAAGAGGAGGGGGGAGACGAAATTTTTTTATAATGTATGCTGTCTGATAAACCATTTTAGTTCTTAATTGATTGTTCACGCTTACAGTGGCTTTCAGACAGCATACATTATAAAAAAAAATTCGTCTCCCCCCTCCTCTTTTCAAAATATAGATGGACTAGTCCTGGGTAAACTGCCAAATCGTTGCGCGTGGCGCTAACGTTTTTTATAAATAAATAAATGCGCCGTTTAAAAATACATTTATGCAAACCAACACACCTGAAGATGACCGTTTGAGTTATGGTCGAAACGTCGTGAGAATTTTTTATTGTTTTATATATATATTATTATTTTGTTGTTTCTCTTCAACGTGACTTTACCGAAAAAACTAAGAATACGGCGACAAACGTTTCGGTTCCATAACAGAGGTGGGTTTAAATTTTGATTTAAGGTGGGTTTTTTTTTTGGGTTAGATCGCGCAAATATTCGTTTTTTCACGCGTATAACCAAAAAAACACCTGGGCAATATCGGTCGCGAAAGCTTACGGCTTCAAATGTACCTCGTCTACACACGGCCTCTTTCTGACGCTTAAAGGGGCCCCCTGCTTGGCGATTAAAACTGGGACATTGACATTAACAGCAAAACCAAACTTCGACGCTATGTACCAACAACATACACCATAAATGTTGATTTAGAGCTTTTGTTTCTGCAGGGATTCATATTCTTTCTTAGTTCTTTCGGTAAAGTCACGTAGAAGGGAAACAATAAAATAATAAAAAAAAATATATAAAACAATTAAATTCTCACGACGTTTAGACTGCAACACGAGCAGCAATCATCATCAGGTGTGAAAACCACAGCAAGAAAATGTTCTTGCTGTGGTTATTCTTTTATATTTTTTTATTATTTTATTGTTTCCCTTCTACGTGACTTTACCGAAAGAACCAAGAATATAACATATACGCCATGTTATGTTGCATGAGCATTTCTACTTTTAGGCACACGCATAGTCCTCAAGTCTTGCCGGTGGGTGGCGCTGACGTTTGCGGACGTGTGTCCAATGGTGCGAGGAGGCTGATGTCTCCTAAGTAACGTCGGTAGGCATCTCCGTCTCACCGGCGCTGCCAGTGTCAGTCTGATACTGTTGCGATGGTGCCTCAAGCGACACCTCCTCCTCCACCTCCTCGCCAGAGCTGTCGTTGCCGTCTTCTCGTCCCTGATGCCGCAACTTCAATCGAGGCACGTGGCACCTTGTGACGCGTCGTCGGTTGTGATACCAACAGATGCCGCAAACGCGACGTTTAACGTGGTAATGGGCAGCCAGCAGGGATGTTGCCCAAGTTGGTTGCCATTATAGCATCGGTGCCCCTCTAATGCTGGTGGGCCCCCATTGTTGATGCAGCGTGTCGTGCTTCCGGCGATGGATGGTGTTGCTTGCCCCCTCGTTTGGGTCGAAATTTTTCATCCTTGGGACCGTGTCGATCGGCAAGCCCTCTTGGAGATCATCGTGCAGGTAATTATCGGCGTTGTAGTGGGCGCACACCATCCGGTGCAAGCTCAGCTCACAGGACCGCAGACCAATCACCAGTTGCTGTTTTTTTTTAAATCTGAGAACGCCCAATGAAGTTCCTGGCATAGTCTGACCTATTTCATGGAAGTATTCCATCGTGATTTAAAGCTTTGGTGACTGCAGGGATTCAAATTCTTGGTTCTTTCGGTAAAGTCACCACGTTGAAGGGAAATAAAATAATAAAAATAAAACATAATAAAATAAAATTCTCACGACGTTTCGGCCACACTGCCAAGCCAAGCAAAGCTTGGCAGTGTTCATTAGGACGCTGTCTTACCGACAGCTCTATTCTTCACCTGAGGACGGCTGCTTGCGTTGTGGCCGAAACGTCGTGAGAATTTTATTTTATTATGTTCCATTTTTATGATTTTATTATTCCCCTTCTACGTGAGTTTACCGAAAGAACCAAGAAGCAGAATCCCATCGTGCTTTCCCGCCTTACCTGTTCTCGGGCATTCATCCGCTCCAAATGCTCGGGAAGGCTCAACGAGCCAACGGAAGTTCGTCTGAAGCACTGCGCGAAAATCCGACCGTGACTCAACAGCTGTCCGCACGCGTCAAATGCCAAATCAGTGTCCTTTGGTTTTTTCGGTAAAGTCACGTAGGTAAAAAAATAAATAAAATAAATGAAAACTAAATTAAATCACGACGTTTCGGGGCGCAACACAAGCGTCCTTCTTCAGGCGGGGACAACGTAGCGAAAGCACAAACGCTTAAAGTGTGTCTCAGAGATGGCTGTGACGAGGGATTATTTTGCCCCGTGACTCTATAACGCGCGCACGATCTCCGGGTTGGTCTTGATGGGGAAGTCGAGGCCGCAGAGGTTCACGAAGTACCTCCAGGGGCTCTCGCCGGCGCGCTCCGCCAGCTCGCGCATGCAGTTGAGGTCGGCCTGCACCCGCGACCACGAGGCGTAGACCACCGCCTCCAGCCGGCGCGCCACGAACACGTTGGGGAAGCAGGCGGCGAGGGAGCGCGCCGCCTGCTGGTAGGCCCGGGGCGACTTGGCGTCCACGTGGAGGCAGTGGAGGTTCTGCGGGGCGTAGATGGCGCGCAGCAGCCGCTCCAGCATGTCCACGCGGTGGTGGGCGACCACGGAGTAGGCGACGGGGAAGTCGGCCTCCTCGCGGCTCAGCGGCGAGGCCGCGTAGCCTCGAGCGCGCCTGAAGGCGGCGCAGTCGCGCGTCGCGTTCAGCAGGCCGCCCTCGTCCTGGGGCCTCAGCCGTCTCTTGAACTCCACCGTCCGCACAAAGGAGGGCGGCGCTCTCCACCGCCGAGGCGTCGCCCGCGACGGTCGCCGGGGGAGATCTACGCGACATCGCCCGCGGCCGCCGGGTCGGCCTCCCTCGGGTCGACCTCGCTCCTCCACCGCCCACACGAGGCCGTCTTCCTCCTCCCCCGAGGGGCCTCCGGAACGTTCCGGCTCCGCGCCCTCCGGCAGCGACGGGCGGCAGTGGGGCGAGCGGCGAGGCGCGCGATCGGCGTCACGGAGACGGCGACCGCCGCGCACGCGAACTGCGTGGACCGGCGCCGCCGTCGCCGCCGTCACCGTGCCCCGAGTGCCATCGTCGAGGCCGTCCGGGTCTCGGGGACCTCCTTCGCGTTCGCCGCGTTGGGGGGGTGGGGGTCGTCTTCGGGTTTCGGGTCAACGTCTGCCTCCGACGCGCGACGGTGAAAATCGCAGCGGTCGCGCCGAGCGGTGACGGTGGTGGTGTCGGAGGTAGTGGTGACGGTGGTGGTGTCGGTGGTAGTGGTGGCGGTGGTAGTGGTGATAGTGGCGGTGGTGGTGGTGGAGGTGGTGGTGGCGGTGGTGGTGGAGGTGGTGGTGGTGGTAGTGGTGGTGGTAGTGGTGCTGGTGGTGGTGGTGATGGCGGTGGTGGTAGTGGTGGTGCTGGTGGTGGCGGTGGTGGCGGTGGTGGTGGTGGCGGTGGCAGTGAGCGGGAGTCGAACTCGGGTCTCTAGCCTCACCAAACTGCTCCCCACACCTAGCAAAGATAAAGATCCACCGTATAGCCCTGACAGGCTGTTGGGGGCAAGTGCCGTTAGTGGCTAACAGCGCCTATGAAGGCCGGCACAGCACCTGTATGCGCGTATACACACACACACACACCTGTATATATCGGGGAGGAACTACCCGGTGGGCAGGTTGGGGGGGGGGGGGGGAGGTCGCTCGCTCGCTCGCGCGCGTTGCTCGCCACTCTCGAGTCCGTTGAGTTTGCGCTGAGTCCGTTATTAGCTGGAGCTATGATCTCTGGACTAGGGGGAGGGAGGGAGGTAGGGGGGGGGAGGGGAGGGAGGAGAGGGAGGAGAGGGAGGGAGGGAAGGAGGGAGGGGAGGGAGGGAGGGAGAGAGGGAGGGAGGGGAGGGAGGGAGGGAGCGTTGGGGAGGGGAGCGTTGGGGAGGTAGGGGTGGGGAGGGGAGGGAGGGAGGGAGGGGAGGGAGGGAGGGAGGGTCCACTTTTGCATTTCAGCAATTCACTTAATTCACGCTGGTGGCCACTTTTGTTGTCACAAATCATGAAGGGTTTTTTCACGAATTTTAAACAAGTGTTCGTACGTACAAATGTGCGTTGAACTTCCTTCGCACCGTACATTTGGGCCACCCTGACGTTTGACACCACCCTTGAACCCTGTAGACACTGGGTACAGTGGAGGGCTTAATTGTGTGCGGAGAAAAACAAAAATCATTTAGAAACACGCGCCGTGTTCCGCAGTGGGTTCCCTCCGCCCATAGTGGAACTGGCCTGGGTTCGATTCCCACCTCCCTGTGCATAATTTGGCACGATCTTATTCTTCTTCTTCCGTACAGATGCAGAGACAACAACAACAATAACAACAACTAACATGCCTCTCTGGTTAAGTCACGTAAGTAGAAAAAAAAATAAAAGAAAACACGACGTTTCGGTCGCAGCACAAGCGTCCGTCCAACCTGAAGACGTCCGTCCAACCTGAAGACGTCCGTCCACCTGAAGACGTCCGTCCAACCTGAAGACGTCCGTCCACCTGAAGACGTCCGTCCAACCTGAAGACGTCCATCCACCTAAAGTCGTCCGTCCAACCTGAAGACGTCCGTCCAACCTGAAGACGTCCGTCCAACCTGAAGACGTCCGTCCACCTGAAGACGTCCGTCCAACCTGAAGACGTCCGTCCAACCTGAAGACGTCCGTCCACCTAAAGACGTCCGTCCAACCTGAAGACGTCCGTCCAACCTGAAGACGTCCGTCCACCTGAAGACGTCCGTCCAACCTGAAGACGTCCGTCCACCTGAAGACGTCCGTCCAACCTGAAGACGTCCGTCCAACCTGAAGACGTCCGTCCACCTAAAGACGTCCGTCCAACCTGAAGACGTCCATCCAACTTGAAGACGGCAGTCCACCTGAAGACGTCCGTCCAACCTGAAGACGTCCGTCCAACCTGAAGACGTCCGTCAAACCTGAAGACGTCCGTCCACCTGAAGACGTCCGTCCAACCTGAAGACGTCCGTCCAACCTGAAGACGGCCGTCCAACCTGAAGACGTCCGTCCACCTAAAGACGTCCGTCCAACCTGAAGACGTCCGTCCAACCTGAAGACGTCCGTCCACCTGAAGACGTCAGTCCAACCTGAAGACGTCCGTCCAACCTGAAGACGTCCGTCCAACCTGAAGACGTCCGTCCACCTGAAGACGTCCGTCCAACCTGAAGACGTCCGTCCAACCTGAAGACGTCCGTCCACCTGAAGACGTCCGTCCAAACTGAAAACGTCCGTCCAACCTGAAGACGTCCGTCCACCTGAAGACGTCCGTCCAACCTGAAGACGTCCGTTCACCTGAAGACGTCCGTCCAACCTGAAGACGTCCGTCCAACCTGAAGACGTCAGTCCACCTGAAGACGTCCGTCCACCTGAAGACGTCCGTCCACCTGAAGACGTCCGTCCAACCTGAAGACGTCCGTTCACCTGAAGACGTCCGTCCAACCTGAAGACGTCCGTCCAACCTGAAGACGTCAGTCCACCTGAAGACGTCCGTCCACCTGAAAACGTCCGTCCAACCTGAAGACGTCCGTCCAACCTGAAGACGTCCGTTCACCTGAAAACGTCCGTCCAACCTGAAGACGTCCGTCCAACCTGAAGACGTCCGTTCACCTGAAGACGTCCGTCCAACCTGAAGACGTCCATCCACCTAAAGACGTACGTCCAACCTGAAGGCGTCCGTCCAACCTGAAGACGTCCGTCCACCTAAAGACGTCCGTCCAACCTGAAGACGTCCATCCACCTGAAGACGTCCGTCCAACCTGAAGACGTCCGTCCAACCTGAAGACGTCCGTCCACCTGAAGACGTCCGTCCAACCTGAAGACGTCCGTCCACCTGAAGACGTCCGTCCAACCTGAAGACGTCCGTCCAACCTGAAGACGTCCGTCCACCTGAAGACGTCCGTCCACCTAAAGACGGCCGTCCAACCTGAAGACGTCCGTCCAACCTGAAGACGTCCGTCCACCTAAAGACGTCCATCCAACCTGAAGAGGTCCGTCCAACCTGAAGACGTCCGTCCACCTAAAGACGTCCGTCCACCTGAAGACGTCCGTCAAACCTGAAGACGGCCGTCCAACCTGAAGACGTCCGTCCACCTGAAGACGTCCGTCCAACCTGAAGACGTCCGTCCACCTGAAGACGTCCGTCCAACCTGAAGACGTCCGTCCACCTGAAGACGTCTGTCCAACCTGAAGACGTCCGTCCACCTGAAGACGTCCGTCCAACCTGAAGACGTCCGTCCAACCTGAAGACGTCCGTCCACCTGAAGACGTCCGTCCAACCTGAAGACGTCCGTTCACCTGAAGACGTCCATCCAACCTGAAGAAGTCTGTTCACCTGAAGACGTCCGTCCAACCTGAAGACGTCCGTTCACCTGAAGACGTCCGTCCAACCTGAAGACGTCCGTTCACCTGAAGACGTCCGTCCACCTGAAGACGGCCGTCAAACCTGAAGACGTCTGTCCACCTGAAGACGTCCGTCCAACCTGAAGACGTCCGTCCACCTGAAGACGTCCGTCCAACCCGAAGACGTCCGTTCAACCTGAAGACGTCCGCTTGTGTTGCGACCGAAACGTCGTGTTTTCTTTGATTATTTTTTCTACCTACGTGACTTTACCGATAGAACGGGAGAGTATAGATTCCTGCAGTCACGAAAGCTTCAAATCAAGATTGAACAATAACTATGTCACGGTTTAGCACGCAGCAGGGCTTTCGCGACCAATATTATCCACGATAGGGTTTTTTTTTTGGGGGGGGGGGGGGGGTTAGATCACTCTTCGCGGATTGGGATCCAGGTGTGGAAAATGGCGCGTTGGACATTTGAATGATTATTATCGAAACGTCGTGATCTATAATTTATATTTACGTGACTTGATCGAACGACCCTAAGAGTATGAATATTATTACGGTCACCATCGACGTGTCAAGACCAAAAACAACCGACCCGCTCGCCTGACGTGATACGCGTGCGTTAGGGGGCCCCTGTGATTGGTGCAGAGATGATTGGTGACGGCCATGGAATTAAACCGATTGGAGGAGAAATTCAAACGTAAAATGGCGGTAAAACGAGGGTGGATTATCAGGGTGGGGGCGTGCGGGGGGAGGGAGGGGGGGAGGGGTAACGGCTGATAACGGCTCGACAAGAAGGACGTGGATTGGCTGAGGGACAATGGGGGTGAGCGAACCTTCGAGGGAGGGGGCCTCGAGGGATACAAAAGGGGGGTAGCACGAGGGGAAGGGGCAAACGGCTTTGAGAGGAAGACGAATTGCGAGCATCGGGAACCCGAAGCTACGGGCCTACAGGACAGCGTTTGTGTCCGAAATGAAGTCAAGAACGTGCGGCGGTGTCACTACCACACCGCGTCAACCCACACGGTTTGCCCCGTATTCTCTGTGCAGCGGAATTGACTTCTCGTTCCATACGGCGTACGGCCGTTTCAACACTGGCACAATAACGACCATCTCGTTGTGCCTATTTGTTTGCGTTTCTCCCTTGCGATGGGACTTTGTAGGATGGGCGTTGAGATTGATAAGGGCACGGGGTGTGATCGAATCAGGTCTGAATTGGTCTGTAATAAGGTAGGGTTACTGATAAGGGGTTGACGGGTATGGTAGTGTAGTGGCGTAAAATGGATCACTATGGCACGTAGCGCTAGGTACAGTAGAATGAGGGATTGCGAGTGCGGCAGCCAGCACAGCATGGGATGCCACGAAGTGGGTCACTAGGGGGCGTGGTGCTGGCTGCTGGCGGAGAGGGGCACGTGGGGACACGGCACCACGGCTGGCTGGCGAAGCACGTGACGGGCCGGCGTGAGGGAGGTAGGGCAAAGGTGACCGAGTTAACATGGGGAGCATGGCCCAGAACCTCCTGGAAGGTTCCAGAAGGGGGCGTGGTTAAGGGCAGAGCCGGGCAGGTGGCACGTGGAATGCGGCCCAGAACCTCCTGGAAGGTTCCAGACGGGGGCGTGGCCGAGGGCGGAGCCAGTCCGCGCTAAGGGACATAAAAGGGAAGCCCCGAGGCTGAATTGGGGCTGTCTATAGGTGGAATGGAATCCCCGAGGTGCTACGTCTTCATCTCCGGCGTCATGGGTCAGACAGCGTGTGGCCTGCTCTGACCAGTAAATAGTTATCACGAGTGTGAACAGTGTGTAAGACATATATAGCGTAGAATAAACGTTGTTGCCGCCTAAAATAGTGTCTCAGAGGTGACTCACTACAGTAGTGTAGTGGTACAATAGGTTAGTGGTATATTAGTATAGTGTGGTATAGTAGTGTAGTATAGCAGTGTAGTAGTAAAGTAGTGTAGTAGTATCATAGCATAATATTGTAGTGTAGTAGTATAGTAGTGTAGTAGTATAGTAGTGTAGTAGTATACTACATTAGTGTGATGGGACTTTGTAGGATGAACGTTGAGATTTATGAGGGGCACGAGGTGACCGATAAGGTCTGAATTGGTCTGTGATAAAGTTGACAGGTCTGCGCTGCATTTGTAATGACGTCCGACACACGTGGTTTCTTCTCCGTTACTAAGAGCCTTTATTCATGACTAAGAGCCCCGCACTTCGCTGCTTGACACACGAACTTCTCTCCAAGCGTCACCTTCCCCTCATGCTATCCCCACTCCGAACATCCCTCTAGTCCCCCCCTCCCACTTTCTGGAAGGTTCCGCACACCCCCATATCCCTCGGCCAAATCCTGGTTCTCTTTCTGCAACGCCCCCTCCCCCCCCCCCCCCCCCATGACACTCAATCCTCGTTCCCCCATCTTTTACATTTCAATTTCCCCTCCGCCAATCATTTCCATTCCCTGTCCTTAGCCAGCGTACCGTGTCAAGTAAGTGGCCTCTGTTGTTTCGGTCTGTACATTCTATGTAGATACAGAGCTTAATCTGTCTGTATGTCTCAAAACCCTCTAGGGGTAACTTCCCGGCAAGGTAGAAAGCTGGCATTTGGTAAATAGGTAGCTGTTAGTGTGCAAATAGGAGAATCATAAAATCTAAGATTTTTCATTTTAAGGCCCCCAAATCTCGATGTTAAGCGCCACATAAACACGTTCGCGTGCGTGGTGTTATTCAGCAGAAAACATTCACAATATAAGACTGCGTTTTTTAAAAATAAAGTCAGGATGAGTGACTCCCTGAGTCACGCTCGGTGAGTAACGCTGACCGAGTTAAACGGCGAATAAAATTAAGGCGGGAACCATTGGTTGTGTTCTACCTTTCATAAACATTTTTTAGATATTTCAGATTCGAGCGGTTTCGAACGAAACAATACAAACATTCATAGACGTTCACACCTGAATAATTCGAAAACGGTACAAGATAGAGCTTCACCTCAAAGAGACGAAGTTCGTTCCATTTTTGCTCTTTATAATAACAACAACAACAAAAAAACACGGAAACTTTTAATGGAGCGCTCTCTGATGATGAGTTCACGTTCCTAAATACAGTGGAAGAAGTTGAATTGCGTCGTCAACAATTTTTGCGGGGTTTTTTTTTTCCCTTTCGCGGAAGAATACCAAAATGCTTTGAGTAGCTGTTATGGTGTTTGTGTCACTGCTCGTTGCTCTAACGTTCTGACCCCGTGCCTCCAACTGGACGTCTGTGAATAAAAGAGCTTCATAGCTCATGGGATTCCTCCCGCAGTCGAGATAAACGTTCCGATTCTGATTCAGCATTCAGTCTCGTTGAGCCTTCTAAAGCCTCGCCGGCTTCTATGGAGCTGGCCACGAGAGGGCGGCGTAGAGGCGAAGACAAAATGTTTGGCGGAGTTGTTTGTGATCTGGGGCCGCCCATAAATGACGTCACGCGATTTTAGACGATTTTTGACCCCCCCCCCCAATCCCTCGTCACACGGCGTCACAAAAATTCAGACCCCCCCCCCTCAAATATGACGTCACAAAGCTCTGCTCCCCCCAAAACCCGCCGCCCCCCAAAACCATATTTCAATTTTGAAAAAATAAAACACGCTTCAAATGGCTTTAAACTATTGTCACATTGTAGTGCGTATTTAATGTGGCGCTGCACACTCTGATGTTGTAGGAGAAAACATTGATTAAAAAGTCTATTTAATTAAGTAGAACGTGTTGTCTATATTTATTTATAAAGTTGCGCATTTTGATGTGACGTCACATTTCTCACCCTCCTCCCCTCGTCACACATCGTCACAAATGTCTGACCCCCTCCCCCCCCAGGTGCGTGACGTCATTTATGTACGATGTACGGCCCCTCTGATCATAGATACAAATCGTAAAGACGGAAAAATCACATCAGGTTCATTATATTTATTGAAAACTTTTGCCTGGCGAAGGCAGGCTTCATGAACTGGTTTGTAGATCTATATATTTTAAAAGGATTTGATTGCATGTCCCAAACTCTGCACTCGCGAAAGGCCTACTGCCGGTATCAACAGACAGTAGGCCTTTCGCGACCAATATTATCCACGATAGGGGGTCTTTTTTGTGGGTTAGATCGCGTAACTGTGTGTCGTTAAACATCGCCACCCAAAACGGCCAATCAGGAAGGAGTATGTGTCACGTAAAACGTGGTGCCAATTCGTAATTACCGGCGAAACGTCACAACTACCCGAATTATAAATGTTGTAGTGGGTTTGCTCTCCAACACACAACCGGTTAGTGCTGTACTAGTAACGAATTGGTTCACTATCCCAACACACAACCAGTTTAGTGCTGCACTAGTAACGAATTGGTTCACTACTCCAACACACAACCAGTTTAGTGCTGTTCTAGTAACGAATTGGTTCACTACCCCAACACACAACTAGTTTAGTGCTGTACTAGTAACGAATTGGTTCACTACCCCAACACACAACCAGTTTAGTGCTGCACTAGTAACGAATTGATTCACTACTCCAACACACAACCGGTTAGTGCTGTACTAGTAACGAATTGGTTCACTACCCCAACACACAACCGGTTAGTGCTGGACTATTAACGAATTGGTTCACTACTCCAACACACAACCAGTTTAGTGCTGTTCTAGTAACGAATTGGTTCACTACCCCAACACACAACTAGTTTAGTGCTGTACTAGTAACGAATTGGTTCACTCTCCAACACACAACCGGTTAGTGCTGTACTAGTAACGAATTGGTTCATTACCCCAACACAACCGGTTAGTGCTGGACTAGTAACGAATTGGTTCACTACTCCAACAACCGATTTAGTGCTGTGCTAGTAACGAATTGGCACGTTTTGTTTACGCGACACAAACTTTACTAATTGGCTGTGTCGGGTGGTGGTGGTGGTGGCGGTGGGTTTAACGACAAATGTATATTTACGCGATCTATCAACCCCAAAAAAAACCCCGTTACGGACACTATTAGTCGCGAAAACCTACACCTGCATGTTAAACGACGTATTACTCTACGGTTAATGCCCTCGCCTCTGTATCCGCGAGGGTAGCGTTCTTGTAATGCAGAATTCGCGAATGCAGAAAACCTCATTCCAATGTGGGGAGGGTGGGGAAATGTCATTACGTTCCTGGTACGTGGCGAACATACGGCGGGGGGAATTGTCAAAGTGTAATAACAATGACCACAATACATTATAGGAACAATGTATTCTTGGGTCTTTCGGTAAAGCCACGTAGATAGATAAAATAATAATAAATAATTTTTTAAAACAATATCACGTTTCCATCTCAACACAAGCAATCGTCATCAGGTGAGAAATTTCGCGGGAAAGCTGCTGAGAATTTCCGCAGATCTCCCGCAAATCTATCTCCGTGGCTTTACCAAAAGACCCAAGAATATGAATTCCTGCAGTCACAAAAGCTTTAAGTCAATATTTAAGGAACAATGTGTTTCATTTGTATTACCTTTGATCATGATTGGACGACGATGGGAGGTGGTGGTGGTGGTGAGGATTTCGGGAGGGTGGATGACTCCGCATTGGGAGATGCGGGAGTCTGATTATTAAAACACCCGCACAGTTTTAGGTTTTTTTCATTTTAAGCAAATCAACAAAGTGTATTGGTCGCATACACAGCTAAGCTTGATGTTGTAGTGGGTGCAGTGAACTGCTCGAGGTGTCAGCTCTGCAGCATTGCAACAGAACGTCTCACGAATAAATGATTATAATTAATTAACGAAAAATTCGAAAAGCAAATCAAGAAAAAAATCACAAAATCTTCCAAACGCACCCAATTGACAAACCAAATAACACTCTAACAATCGTCCAAATAACAATCTGTGCGCGTGTGCACGGGATTAATGAACACAACGAATGATATCTACAACAACGGATACATTAGGGTGAGCTTTGTCGAGTATACGGTATGCAGATACGCGCAGTGTGTTTAAGCCATATATACATTGGAAGTGTCCACTGTGGGGAGGGAGCGATCTCCCCCCGAAAACACTCTCTCCGAATGCGTTCGCTCCCTTCCCGATGGAACTCGCGGTCGACCCGTTGATAATACCCCACGGTTCTTTCGGTAAAAGTAACGTACATAATAAAGGTTTTTGGGTTAGATCGCGTTTATTTATAAATGTGTCGTAACCCTCCACCACCCGACACGGCCAATCAGCAAAAAAAAAGTGTCACGTTGACAAAAGACAATTCACTACTTTAGCCCACCGGTGTGTTGAAGAGTGAATCCACTCTTCAACGGCCAATCAGCAGAAAAAAAAGTGTCACGTTGACAAAAGACAATTCACTACTTTAGCCCACCGGTGTGTTGAAGAGTGAATCCACTCTTCAACACACCGGTGGGCTAAAGTAGTGAAGAGTGGATTCACTCTTCAACACACCGGTGGGCTAAAGTAGTGAATTGTCTTTTGTCAACGTGACAATTTTTTTTTTGCTGATTGGCCGTGTCGGGTGGTGGAGGGTTACGACACATTTATAAATAAACGCGATCTAACCCAAAAACCTTTATTATGAATAATATTGGTCGCGAAAGCCTACATGTTAAACCAAAAGTAACGTAGTTAGAAATAAAATCAAATAAAACAAATCACGACGTTTCGATCGCAACACAAGCGATCTTCATCAGGCAAAACTTTGCCGAAACTTTTGCCTGATTGTGTGTTGCGATCAGAACGTCGTTATTTATTTTATTTTATTTTTCTACCTACGTGACTTTACCGAAAGAACCAAAGAGTATGGATTCCTGCAGTCACGAAAGCTTCAAACCGTTGATAATAACCAAGAGCGTATGAAGGAGTAAGCATGAAGTGAGCAAATGCACAGCGGCGAGTCCGTAGAGGGATCACTGCAAGACGGAGACCTGGAGTGGGCGGCCGTGTGGGGTTCTGCGTGCATCTCCCCCCCCCCCCCCCCCCCCCCCCCACCACCGGTGACCTGTAGGTGCTGCGTGACGCTCGTGAGTACCGGGGCATTACAGCTGCGACGTTTGGTGGTCTTCTTCTTCGTCTTTCGCGTGGACTCACAGCAGCAGCAGCGGATTGGAGATGCAGTTTTAGACTGCTGTCATTCACTCAGTCGTCCGTTCGGAAGGCAAGAGCGGATCTCGTTCCAGCCCTCCTTTTAAAAACGGTGAAGATTTTGTATTCGGCGGCTCGCGAATGTTGCAAAGCCCGCGAATGTGCGAAGCTCGCGAACCCAGAGCACGCGCATTTACAACATCCGTGGGATCACTCTCCAGCACACGCCGGGGTGCTGAAGTGGTAAACCTACTGGCACGTTTTGTTCACGTGACGAAACCCCGAACCAATTGGCCGTGTCGGGCGGTGTGGCGGGCCTAACGACGCGTTTACATCGACGCGATCTAACCCCCAAAAGTAAACCAAAACTTTGCTATGAATCTACGTTCAAACGGATTGTACTTGAAGTGTCTCAGTGATTGAGACACTTCACGTGGAAGTTGAGATTCGAGAGATCCGCAAAGTTCCTCCCGCAGACGAAGCACTTGTACGGCTTCTCCGCGCTGTGCGATTTCACGTGCCGGCTGCAGGCCGACGACTTTATGAAGTCCTTGTCGCATATCGGGCACCGGTGCGGCTTCTCGCCCGTGTGGATCATCGCGTGGACCTTCAGGGCCGAGAGGTGCGCGAAGCCCTTCCCGCAGACGTCGCAGCCATGCGGCCTCTCGCCCGAGTGGCCCATCGCGTGGACCCTGAGGGCTGCCAGCTGGGTGAAGGCCTTCCCGCAGGCGTCGCACTTGTGCGGCTTCTCGCCCCCGTGCGTCGACTCGTGGTTCCTGAGGAAGGACGGCTTCGTGAAGCCCTTGCCGCACGCGGCGCACTTGTGCGGCCTCTCTCCCGTGTGGGTCATCGCGTGGTTCTTGAGGTCCGACGACTCGACGAAGCCCTTGTCGCACACGGGGCAGCGGTGATTCCGCTCGCCCGTGTGGATCTTGGCGTGGCTCCTGAGGTTGGAGAGGTGCGCGAAGGTCTTGCCGCACGTCGAGCACCCGTGCGGCCTCTCGCCCGTGTGGATCCTCGCGTGGCTCCGGAGCGTCGACGAGTCGGTGAAGGCCTTGCCGCACGCCGAGCACTTGTGCGGCTTCTCGTCCGTGTGCTTCATCACGTGCCTCTTGAGGGCGAACGACTGGACGAAGCCCCTGGGGCACAGCGGGCACTTGAAGGGCTTCTCGCCCGTGTGGATCATCGCGTGACTCTTGAGCGCCGACGACTTCCTGAAGCCGTTCCCGCACACGGAGCACTTGAAGGGCCTCTCGCCCGTGTGCGTCATCGCGTGCCTCTTCAGGGCCGACGAGCAAGTGAAGGCCCGGCCGCACGAGGGGCACTCGTGCGTCGGATTTCCGGCCGTCCGTCCGGTTCCTCCGGCCCCTGCTGTTCTCCAGGACCACCTCGATCTCCGCCACGTCCGACGGAGTCCCCCAGTCTCCCCGCGACTCCCCGGCTCTCTCGGTAGAACCGCCAGGCCGAGGGTCCTCATTCCCCAGAGGCGCTTCTTTGACGTCAAGACCCTCTTCGTCCGAATAAAGGTCCCCATCGTCACTCCCAAGCTCCTCTTTGGTATTCTCCAAAGGTTCTTCTTTAACACGAATATCGTCGTCATCGGACTGAAGGTCCCCGCCATCTGACTGAAGCTCCTCTTCTTCACCGAGGTCCTCCGCTAGGCCGAGCTCATCCTCTTGAGAATCAGGATCCTGACCTAGGAGGCGAAAGGTTCACCATTGAGCTCCACGCAAGTTCCAAGTAAAACTTTTGTCCGCTACCGGACTAAGGTCTCTCCCCCCCCCCCGCTCCAGTAACAACCAAAACAACAACACAAATAAATACCGTGTGTGCGGTTAATGCAGTACTTGATTCCTTGATTTAAAAAAAAATATAATTTATTTGGCGTTTGAACAAACACCCATTCTTATTTTTCATACTTTGATACCGGCAACAAGTCCCCATGATAATAATCATTATTACAGTTTAACACGAAGGCTTTCGCCACCAATATCATCCTTAATACAAGTTTTTGGGTTATACCGCGTAAATATAAAAATGTTGTGTCGTTAAAACTCGCCACCACCCGACAAAGCCAACTAGTAAGGGTTGTCACGTAAGCAGAATGTGCCAATTCGTCACTCGTACAGCACTAGTGTGTAGTGTATAGTGAAGTGTATAGTGTATAGTAGTGTATTGTATAGTAGTGTATAGTGTATTGTACAGTAGTGTGCAGTGTATAGTAGTGTACAGTGAGGGAAAAAAAGTATTTGATCCCCTGCTGATTTTGTACGTTTGCCCACTGACAAAGAAATGATCAGTCTATAACTTTAATGTTAGGTGCATTTGAACAGTGAGAGACAGAATAACAAGAAAAAAAATCCAGAAAAACGCATGTCAAAAATGTTATACATTGATTTGCATTTTAATGAGGGAAATAATATTTGACCCTTTCTCAATCAGAAACATTTCTGGCTCCCAGGTATCTTTTATACAGGTAACGAGCTGAGATTAGGAGCACGCTCTTAAAGGGAGTGCTCCTAATCTCAGCTTGTTACCTGTATAAAAGACACCTGTCCACAGAAGCAATCAATCATATTCCAAACTCTCCACCATGGCCAAGACCAAAGAGCCTCACAAGGATGTCAGGGACAATATTGTAGACCTACACAAGGCTGGAATGGGCTACAAGACCATTGCCAAGCAGATTGGTGAGACGGTGACAACAGTTGGTGCGATTATTCGCAAATGGAAGAAACACAAAAGAACTGTCAATCTCCATCGGCCTGGGGCTCCATGCAAGATCTCACCTCGTGGAGTTGCAATGATCATGAGAACGGTGAGGAATCAGCCCAGAACTACACGGGAGGATCTTGTCAATGATCTCAAGGCAGCTGGGACCATAGTCACCAAGAAAACAATTGGTAACACACTACGCCATGAAGGACTGAAATCCTGCAGCGCCCACAAGGTCCCCCTGCTCAAGAAATCACACATACATGCCCGTCTGAAGTTTGCCAATGAACATCTGAATGATTCAGAGGCCAACTGGGTGAAAGTGTTGTGGTCAGATGAGACCAAAATGGAGCTCTTTGGCATCAACTCGCCATGTGTGGAGGAGGAGGAATGCTGCCTATGACCCCAAGAACACCATCCCCACCGTCACACATGGAGGTGGAAAGATTATGCTTTGGGGGTGTTTTTCTGCTAAGGGGACAGGACAACTTCAGCGCATCAAAGGGACGATGGACGGGGCCATGTACCATCAAATCTTGGGTGAGAATCTCCATCCCTCAGCCAGGGCATTGAAAATGGGTCGTGGATGGGTATTCCAGCATGACAATGACCCAAAACACACAGCCAAGGCAACAAAGGAGTGGCTCAAGAAGCAGCACATTAAGGCCCTGGAGTGGCCTAGCCAGTCTCCAGACCTTAATCCCATAGAGAGCTGAAGGTTCGAGTTGCGAAACGTCAGCCTCGAAACCTTAATGACTTGGGAGATCTGCAAAGAGGAGTGGGACAAAATCCCTCCTGACATGTGTGGCAAATCTGGTGGCCAACTACAAGAAACGTCTGACCTCTGTGATTACCAACAAGGGTTTTGCCACCAAGTACTAAGTCATGTTTTGCAGAGGGGTCAAATACTTATTTCCCTCATTAAAATGCAAATCAGTTTATAACATTGTTGACATGCATTTTTCTGGATTTTTTTGTTATTCTGTCTCTCACTGTTCAAATAAACCTACCATTAAAATTATAGACTGATCATTTCTTTGTCAGTGGGCAAACGTACAAAATCAGCAGGGGATCAAATACTTTTTCCCTCACTGTATAGTGTAGTGTATAGTAGTGTAGTGTATAGTGTAGTGTATAGTAGTGTATCGTGTATAGTAGTGTATTGTATAGTAGTGTATAGTGTATTGTACAGTAGTGTATAGTGTATTCTATAGTAGTGTATAGTTTATTGTATAGTAGTGTATAGTGTAGTGAATAGTGTAGTGTATAGTGTAGTGTATAATAGTGTAGTGTATAGTAGCGTAGTGTATAGTGTAGTGTACTACAGACATAGACATAGAGCAGCTAAAAACCATTGACCCTGCAATGCTATTAAAGTAACGTTAAAGTTCGAAATTCAACAACAAGAGTAGGCTAAAATTATCGATCCTCGCGCTCGCTCCAATTGGAGACCAGGCTGCGAGCTACATCAATGAACCATTGCCCATTTATGAATTCAATACTGAATGTTTAGTAGTTTTTAGTAGTTTCTGCACAACCTGACCGAAGCGTATGACAATCATAATTTTTCCTAAGTCAAAACGAATTCTCTAACCTCAGGACATAAGCAAATAATAACGCAGTGTTAATTCAAAGGTTAGAGAGGGGAAAACACGTAAGCCAGAGCAGCCCTGAAGTGCACCTGCGGGTGCCCGTGTGAAGCTGACCTCGGCACGCCAAAGATAAGAGCAACAGACGGAGAGAAAGGGAGACGCTTTTGTCTCCCCGCAGCGTGAGAGAGCGGAGGAATAATCACAGGCTACCTTGTTCAAGGGAGAGCGAAAATCTAATTAAGCAAAGCACACACCAGGCAGAGAGGAGTGGACGTGGGGAGAGATGCCTTGAATGCAGCGTGTCTCAGCAGGACCCCAGGCAACAAGTTTAAGTTAAAGAAATCACAGTACATAATTCATACGCAACATTAATGTTAAATCTTCTTTGGTTCTTTCGGTAAAGTCACGTAGAATGAGAATAAAATAATAAAATAAAATAACACAATAAAATTCTCACGAGGTTTCGGCCACAACACAAGTGGCCTTCTTCAGGTGAAAGGAACAGACCTGTCGGGACGACAGAGCTTCAATGAACAGAGCTTCAATGACTTTACCAAAAGAACCAAAGAAGATGAATCCTTGCAGTCACGAAAGCTTTAAATCGAAAATTAATGTTAAAGCTAAATAATACTTGAGCGATGTTAAACCGGGGGCCAGGGAAAAAGAGAGTCTCCCGGCCGCCTTTGTCTTCCTGCAACACATGATAAGAATATGCATACGCTCAAGAGAGCACCTTCCCTTAAAATAAAATCGAACAGCACGATGGAAAACTAACACAACAAACCATACAGAATCATCACTGTAAGACTGTGATGTAATAAACTGATGGAATGAAATGTTAACTTTAAAAACCTTAACCATTTCTTTGTGCGTCGGTGAAGGTCACACTGGAGGGAATATCGCCCCTCCCTCCAGGTTGTGCAACACAGACAGAGATGCCTGTGAGACGATTTGTAACACCTGTTGTTATGGTTTGTGGAAAGAGGAGGGCAACAGAGCTGTGCCGTAAATGACGCACACAAGGACACACATACGAACGGACGCACATACGGACACATACTCCAGACCACGACACACAGCTAAATCAAAAGAAGCTCCGCCTTGTGGGGAGGAGCCAAGAGGAGGGATTTTGGCATAAAGAGGACACTGCAGCATTGAAACCTCAGCTTGTCAGCAAGCGGGCAAGACCCGCTTGCCAGCTCAAGGAGCTCATCAGCAAGGAGCTCACCAGCAAGCGGGCAAGACCCACTTGCCAGCTCAACTCAGCTCATCAAGGGAGCTCATCAGCTTGCCAGCTCAACTCAGCTCATCAAGGGAGCTCATCAGCTTGCCAGCTCAACTCAGCTCATCAAGGGAGCTCATCAGCTTGCCAGCTCAACTCAGCTCATCAAGGGAGCTCATCAGCTTGCCAGCTCAACTCAGCTCATCAAGGGAGCTCATCAGCTTGCCAACTCAACTCAGTTCATCAAGGGAGCTCATCAGCTTGCCAGCTCAACTCGGCTCATCAAGGGAGCTCATCAGCTTGCCAGCTCAACTCGGCTCATCAAGGGAGCTCATCAGCTTGCCAGCTCAACTCGGCTCATCAAGGGAGCTCATCAGCTTGCCAGCTCAACTCAGTTCATCAAGGGAGCTCATCAGCTTGCCAGCTCAACTCGGCTCATCAAGGGAGCTCATCAGCTTGCCAGCTCAACTCGGCTCATCAAGGGGAGCTCATCAGCTTGCCAGCTCAACTCGGCTCATCAAGGGGAGCTCATCAGCTTGCCAGCTCAACTCATCCCTGCAGGAGATCGGCCGCCGCCGATGCAGAGGAGGTCCCTGCCGGCCGCCAGAATGGCGAGACTCGCTGTTTAGCGACGGGGCTACGCGGTGCGAGTCGGCACCATCAAAAGCAGCATCGCAACGAACGTGTATCGCCAGCGCCCGATAGCGCAACCGGTGGTCAACACTCAGCGACACGACCGTGCCAGTGACCAGCAGACGAGCGCCATCTACCGATCGTACAACCGTGCCCGCTAAGAGCGGAACGTGGGCAAGCCGCCAAGCCGACGGCACCACCGCGCACGCTACGAGCGAGCTGTGTGCGCCATCTACCGACGGGCCACCGCAACTACAACAGCGTGTCGGCTCGCCAACCTACGTCAGCCGAACCGAATCAACCACGGTGACAGACGAATCGACCGATACGTATGACGCGCACTGCCCCCCCCCCACCACACGACAAACCAGGCGTCCGTTTGACGCAAAGAATCAACTCCGAACGCTGACCATTCAACACAATTTATATCCCTCACCATACACGAGTCAGGAACCAAAAGGCAATCCCAAAACGTGAACCACCTGTGGCCGTGGAAGCATCGCTACAGATTGGGTGATAACAGTCCATCGTTTGTAAGCATATTCATAATTTTCCTCCTTAATATTTTGTTTTGGGCTGTACTTCTAATTGCATAAATTACCAACCGATCCATCAATACGAATTAACCCTTGACCCCTTCGCCACGGAGCTACGCTCACGTGGGGGAATAGCGTATCCAACCGGCTTCCTTATCAGGCAAACTGGTCCATAATTAATTCAACGTTGGCCCAAGATAAGGATATCAGGGGAGAGAGCGCTCCCCACCGCACACCCTCACTCTAAGCCATTTCGGTAATCATATAATCTGTCCGATGGATCTGTTGATATATTTGTGCCTTTGGGAATAATAACTGTTTTGATCGCCTTTTCGTATGAATATCGTCATATAATCTTAATTACCTTTCGTTACTGATCGCCGCACATACTCGAGTACTCTACAGAATACTCTACCGTTCCGTGACCCAATGTGCTAACAACGTGATAAGGGTTGCATATGATCAATAATGAGTGCGGTACTGCGTGAACAATTCAAGTATAATCATATATTATAAAGTTAAGGTTTTTATTTAGATTAGCATATGCATGTTTTAACGACTCTCTCTCCCACCAACCGAGCTCGAGTTACGCGGCGGAATTAACCACAGGTGCTGTTGTCAAAGTGAAACAACCCAGTCATTGATGAGACTGTGTTGATACTGTGTTGTAATTCCAAGCCGAGAGTTGTATCTTTTAGAGTTGAGGTTTAATTAGAAATAAATTGATTCTTTCCTGAAATCTATGCATAAGAACTGGTTCTGCGTTGAGATATGAACTTGGTGACCTAAAATATAAACACACTAATCCACTCAATAAACGTCAAAGCGAGAATAATTGTATTATACTGATCGATAATACGAAGTTAAACAGCGAAGCCGAGTTGACTCTGGCATACCGCATCACACTAGCATAACTGCATACAATTAATTGTATTATCCCGATTGATAACCGACCCTCGTCAACGAGGCGGGGTCTGATTATCATAAAGGCTGTCATTAACATAACCACACCCACTCTCATAAATTTATAAGATTATCTCTCGAATTAGCATAATTTATACACATAATTGCACTAATTAATATAACTTCGGATACATTATGCAAACTTCAGATTTCATTTAGTTTTTATTATTTTCATCAAATTTTCACAAAACCCACATATACAACACTGACCATCACAAACGACGTTGTTAATTCGCGTCGTGTTTAACTCGCCGTCATCACCACTCACCACCACCGCTCACCACCGCTCACCACCACGTCTCACCACCACCACTCACCACCACTGCTCACCACCACCACCACGTCTCACCATCACCACCACTCACCACCACCGCTCACCACCACCACCGCTCACCACCACCGCTAACCACCACCGCTCACCACCACCACTCACCACCACCACCACCGCTCACCACCACCGCTCACCACCACCACCGCTCACCACCACCACCACTGTCACTCACCAGGACCACCACCTCCATCAACGTCGTCTCTCTCCACCTTCACGGGTGGCCACGTCTCACCGCCCGGCTCCTCCTCTTCCTCCACCTCTCGCTTTACGAGCACCTCCATGCGTAGAGAAGGAGCCACCTCCTCCACCTCCTCCGCCTCCTCCTCCTCCTCCTCCACCGCCTTCTCCTCGTCCACCCCCTCCTTCACCTCCTCCACGTCTCACTGTCCAAAGAGGAACCCAGCGCGGTGAGAGACTCAAGACGATGCCGCCACCACGGCCGCTTGCGCCAGGCTAGGTGCACCTAGAGGACCACTCATCGGCGGCGGCGGCGGCAGCATTCCGGCAACAACCGCCGTTCACTGCCGAGGTTTCATCAATTCAACGAAAACTTTGTTCATGTTGCCAGGTGTAAGGCACCCAATGATGAGCTGCTGTGTGGCTCTTTAGTCAGAAGTGATGTGGCCATCACGGATGGTAGCAGCTCAACCACGTGGGCTGATGTCATCATCATCATCATCACGTGGGCATTCATAGCAGCAGGCAAATTACTCTGAACGCTTCATTCTTTGGTTCTTTCAGTAAAGTCACGTAGAAATAGAAAATAATAAATTACGTAATAACACACGACGTTTCGATTGCAAAGCAAGCAATCATCATCAGGTACAAATGAAAGAGAACACACACCTAGTGAACTTAGAAATATAATGCAACTCGGCGCAGAAAGTCGGCTGACACAGCAGTCAACACCCTACCTGGTTGATTACATCCAAGAGACAGAACCGGAGACACATACACAGACACACAAGCGGAAAGAGTTAACGCAGAGACGCAGAGAGAGAGAGAGAGACATGCATGGGCACACAGAGAAAGAACGTCTCTGTGTCGAGGCCTTAAATAGCTAGAGAGGGGGTACAGAGAGAGAGAGAGCGGGGGGTTAGAAGAATTAGCATGTCAATGGGAGATCCCACAATGAGAGCTCCACCGCCAACGTTGAGGGGAGACAGAGACAACACTAAATCAAACTAACTTAGTAAAATTTGGAAATGTAATGTAATGCGACACAGAGTCGGTCAACACACTACTCTGAACGCGTCGGTGACGTTGATTCTAAATGTGCAGGGAGGAGGACCCGGAGACAAATCCACGCAGTGACCACGGGGACAGAGAGAAACGCAGACTCCACATATACAGCAGCAGGCATCGTCAGGGTCGGGATGTAACCCAAGACCTCCTGCACACCAGGCGAGGTAATCAACATCTCCTAGCCACCACGATGATGATGATGAGAGAGACGCAGACTCCACATATACAGCAGCGGGCGTCGTCAGGGTCGGGATCGAACCCACGACTATCCTGCACACCAGGCGAGGTAGTCAACATCTCACCACGGGGAGAGAGAGAGACACAGACTCCACATATACAGCAGCACCAGGCGTCGTCAGGGTCAGGATCGAACCCACGAGCCTCCTGCACACCAGGTGAGGTAGTCAACATCTCCTAGCCACCGTGATGATGATGATGATGATAAGAGACACGCAAACTCCAAATATACAGCGGCAGGGTTGGGATCGAACCCACGAGCCTCCTGCACACCGGGCGAGGTTGTCAACATCTCACCACGGGGAGCGAGAGAGAGAGGGGGGAGGAGAGGAGGAGAGGCGGGAAGCCCAACTGGTGCCCGGATACGCGAGGATCGCGCGAAGCGCTTTCTGTCCCGCCTGGCCTCCGGTGACGACGCTCCAACAGTCGGCGCCGCTGGCCACGGGGCCATCACCGTCACTCGGCTCGTTTCCCGCCCGGCAACCTCGTGCAGCCGCTGGACAAGATGTAGCGTTCACCAGCGGCCCCCAACCCCCGGGGCTCAGTCACGTGCTGTTGGCGAGCCCACAAGCTCTAACCCCTAGTAGCCACAATGAGCGCGAAAGACCCCAATGATGAACCAGTTGCCTTCCACGAAATCGGTCCCTGCTGCCAAAAAGTTTGGGGACCGCTGGCACAGAGACAACGCTGGTCGGCCAGGAGGGAGACATCCCTTGACCGCACCCGGACATCGATCAGCCTCTCAGTGTATCTGCTGTACTAAGTCACTCGCTCAACCATTCACTCGACCACTCACTCAATCATTCAACCACTCACTCACTCACTCAACCACTCACTCAATCACTCACTCAACCGCTCACTCACTCATTCAATCGCTCACTTACTCAACCACTCACTCACTTAAGCATTCATTCAACCACTCACTCTATCATTCAACCACTCACTCACTCAATCCCTCAACGACTCAAGAATTCACTCAACCATTCACTCACTCAACCACTCACTCACTCAACCACTCAATCACTCACTCAACCACTCACTCAACCACTCAACCACTCACTCATTCAATCACTCACTTACTCAGCCACTCACTCACTTAACCACTCTCTCACTCAACCATTCACTCAGCTATTCACTCACTCAACCATTCACTCAACCACTCACTCAATCATCCAACAACTCACTCACTCAACCGCTCACTCAACCACTCACTCACTCAACCAATCACTCACTCAAGAATTAACTCAACTACTCACTCATTCAACCACTCACTCAACCATTCACTCAACCACTCACTCAACCACTCACTCACTCAATCATTCACTCAATCATTCACTTAACCACTCACTCAACCACTCACTCACTCAATCACTCACTCACTCAATCATTCACTCAACCATCCACTCAACCATTCACTCAACCATTCACTGAACCACTCACTCAACCATTCACTAAACCATTCACTCAACCACTCACTCACTCAATCATTCACTCAACCATTCAATTAACCACTCACTCAACCACTCACTCACTCAACCACTCACTCACTCAATCATTCACTCAACCATCCACTCAACCATTCACTGAACCACTCACTCACTCAATCACTCACACACTCAACCACTCACTCAACCACTCACTCAACCACTCACTCACCCACTCACTCACTCAATCATTCACTCAACCGTTCACTTAACCATTCACTCAACCACTTACTCACTCAACCACTCACTCACTCAACCACTCACTCACTCAACCACTCACTCACTCAACCACTCACTCAATCATTCACTCAACCATTCACTTAACCACTCACTCAACCACTCACTCAACCACTCACTCAACCACTCACTCACTCAATCATTCAATCAACCGTTCACTCAACCACTCACCCACTCACGCAATCACCCACCACCCACTCAACCACTCACTCACTCACCCACTCAACCACTCACCCACCACACACTCACCAGGTCAACAGTAGCGGCTGGAACTGAACCAATGGGTGAGTCTCAACGTTGGAACCAGATCCAGGAAGAGAGCGACAGTCCAGCTTCTGCAGAGTCCCACACACACACAGAGAGTTCACGCGTGATGAATCAGTGAACACCACACACACAGTGAGTTCACGCGTGATGAGTCAGTGAACATCACACACACACACAGTGAGTTCACGCGTGATGAGTCAGTGAACACCACACACACACACAGTGTGTTCACGCGTGATGAGTCAGTGAACACCACACACACAGTGAGTTCACGCGTGATGAGTCAGTGAAGACAGCACACACACAGTGAGTTCACGCGTGATGAGTCAGTGAACACCGCACACACACAGTGTGTTCACGCGTGATGAGTCAGTGAACACCACACACACACAGTGTGTTCACGCGTGATGAGTCAGTGAACACCACACACACACAGTGTGTTCACGCGTGATGAGTCAGTGAACACCACACACACAGTGTGTTCACGTGTGACGAGTCAGTGAACACCGCACACACACAGTGCGTTCACGCGTGATGAGCCAGTGAACACCACACACACACAGTGAGTTCACGCGTGATGAGTCAGTGAACACCACACACACACAGTGAGTTCACGCGTGATGAGTCAGTGAACACAGCACACACACAGTGAGTTCACGCGTGATGAGTCAGTGAACACAGCACACACACAGTGTGTTCACGCGTGATGAGTCAGTGAACACCACACAGTGTGTTCACGCGTGATGAGTCAGTGAACACCGCACACACACAGTGCGTTCACGCGTGATGAGCCAGTGAACACCACACACACACAGTGAGTTCACGCGTGATGAGTCAGTGAACACCACACACACACAGTGAGTTCACGCGTGATGAGTCAGTGAACACCACACACACACAGTGTGTTCACGCGTGATGAGTCAGTGAACACCACACACACACAGTGTGTTCACGCGTGATGAGTCAGTGAACACCACACACACACAGTGAGTTCACGCGTGATGAGTCAGTCACTCATTCAAACATTCACTCGACCACTCACTCAATCATTCAACCACTCACTCACTCACTCAACCACTCACTCAATCACTCACTCAACTGCTCACTCACTCATTCAATCGCTCACTTACTCAACCACTCACTCACTTAAGCATTCATTCAACCACTCACTCTATCATTCAACCACTCACTCACTCAATCCCTCAACGACTCAAGAATTCACTCAACCACTCACTCACTCACTCAATCACTCACTCAACCACTCACTCACTCAACCACTCAATCACTCACTCAACTACTCACTCAACCACTCAACCACTCACTCATTCAATCACTCACTTACTCAACCACTCACTCACTTAACCACTCTCTCACTCAACCATTCACTCAGCTATTCACTCACTCAACCATTCACTCAACCACTCACTCAATCATCCAACAACTCACTCACTCAACCGCTCACTCAACCACTCACTCACTCAACCAATCACTCACTCAAGAATAAACTCAACTACTCACTCATTCAACCACTCACTCAACCATTCACTCAACCATTCACTCAACCACTCACTCAACCACTCACTCACTCAATCATTCACTCAACCATTCACTTAACCACTCACTCAACCACTCACTCACTCAACCACTCACTCACTCAATCATTCACTCAACCATCCACTCAACCATTCACTCAACCATTCACTGAACCACTCACTCAACCATTCACTAAACCATTCACTAAACCACTCACTCAACCACTCACTCACTCAATAATTCACTCAACCATTCAATTAACCACTCACTCAACCACTCACTCACTCAACCACTCACTCACTCAATCATTCACTCAACCATCCACTCAACCATTCACTGAACCACTCACTCACTCAACCACTCACACACTCAACCACTCACTCAATCATTCACTCAACCATTCACTTAACCACTCATTCAACCACTCACTCACTCAACCACTCACTCACTCAATCATTCACTCAACCATCCACTCAACCATTCACTCAACCATTCACTGAACCACTCACTCAACCATTCACTAAACCATTCACTCAACCACTCACTCAACCACTCACTCACTCAATCAATCATTCACTCAACAATTCAATTAACCACTCACTCAACCACTCACTCACTCAACCACTCACTCACTCAATCATTCACTCAACCATCCACTCAACCATTCACTGAACCACTCACTCACTCAACCACTCACACACTCAACCACTCACTCAATCATTCACTCAACCATTCACTTAACCACTCACTCAACCACTCACTCAACCACTCACTCAACCACTCACTCACCCACTCACTCACTCAATCATTCACTCAACCATTCACTCAACCGTTCACTTAACCATTCACTCAACCACTTACTCACTCAACCACTCACTCACTCAACCACTCACTCACTCAACCACTCACTCACTCAACCACTCACTCACTCAACCACTCACTCACTCAACCACTCACTCAATCATTCACTCAACCATTCACTTAACCACTCACTCAACCACTCACTCAACCACTCACTCAACCACTCACTCACTCAATCATTCAATCAACCGTTCACTCAACCACTCATCCACTCACGCAATCACCCACCACCCACTCAACCACTCACCCACTCACCCACTCAACCACTCACCCACCACACACTCACCAGGTCAACAGTAGCGGCTGGAACTGAACCAATGGGTGAGTCTCAACGTTGGAACCAGATCCAGGGAGAGAGCGACAGTCCAGCTTCTGCAGAGTCCCACACACACACAGAGAGTTCACGCGTGATGAGTCAGTGAACACCACACACACAGTGAGTTCACGCGTGATGAGTCAGTGAACACCGCACACACACAGTGAGTTCACGCGTGATGAGTCAGTGAACACCACACACACAGTGTGTTCACGCGTGATGAGTCAGTGAACACCGCACACACACAGTGTGTTCACGCGTGATGAGTCAGTGAACACCACACACACACAGTGAGTTCACGCGTGATGAGTCAGTGAACACCACACACACAGTGAGTTCACGCGTGATCAGTCAGTGAACACCACACACACAGTGAGTTCACGCGTGATGAGTCAGTGAACACCGCACACACACACAGTGAGTTCACGCGTGATGAGTCAGTGAACACCGCACACACACACAGTGTGTTCACGCGTGATGAGTCAGTGAACACCACACAGTGTGTTCACGCGTGATGAGTCAGTGAACACCACACACACACAGTGTGTTCACGCGTGATGAGTCAGTGAACACCACACACACAGTGAGTTCACGCGTGATGAGTCAGTGAACACCACACACACAGTGAGTTCACACGTGATGAGTCAGTGAACACCACACACACAGAGTTCACGCGTGATGAGTCAGTGAACACCACACTCACACAGTGAGTTCACGCGTGATGAGTCAGTGAACACCACATACACACAGTGAGTTCACGCGTGATGAGTCAGTGAACACTACACACACACACAGTGAGTTCACGCGTGATGAGTCAGTGAACACCACACACACACAGTGAGTTCACGCGTGATGAGTCAGTGAACACCACACACACACAGTGTGTTCACGCGTGATGAGTCAGTGAACACCACACACACAGAGAGTTCACGCGTGATGAGTCAGTGAACACCACACACACAGTGAGTTCACGCGTGATGAGTCAGTGAACACCGCACACACACACAGTGTGTTCACGCGTGATGAGTAAGTGAACACCACACACACACAGTGTGTTCACGCGTGATGAGTCAGTGAACACCACACACACAGTGAGTTCACGCGTGATGAGTCAGTGAACACCACACACACACACAGAGTTCACGCGTGATGAGTCAGTGAGCACCACACACACAGAGAGAGTTCACGCGTAATGAGTCAGTGAACACCACACACACAGTGTGTTCACGCGTGATGAGTCAGTGAACACCACACACACACAGTGTGTTCACGTGTGATGAGTCAGTGAACACAGCACACACACACAGTGAGTTCACGTGTGATGAGTCAGTGAACACAGCACACACACAGTGAGTTCACGCGTGATGAGTCAGTGAACACCACACACACACAGAGTTCACGCGTGATGAGTCAGTGAGCACCACACACACAGAAAGAGTTCACGCGTAATGAGTCAGTGAACACCACACACACAGTGTGTTCACGCGTGATGAGTCAGTGAACACCACACACACACAGTGTGTTCACGTGTGATGAGTCAGTGAACACAGCACACACACAGTGAGTTCACGTGTGATGAGTCAGTGAACACAGCACACACACAGTGAGTTCACGCGTGATGAGTCAGTGAACACAGCACACACACAGTGAGTTCACGCGTGATGAGTCAGTGAACACCAAACACACAGTGAGTTCACGCGTGATGAGTCAGTGAACACCACACACACAGTGTGTTCACGCGTGATGAGTCAGTGAACACCACACACACAGAGTTCACGCGTGATGAGTCAGTGAACACCACACACACACACAGTGTGTTCACGCGTGATGAGTCAGTGAACACCACACACACACAGTGTGTTCACGCGTGAAGAGTCAGTTAACACCACACACACAGAGTGAGTTCACGCGTGAAGAGTCAGTGAACACCACACACACACAGTGAGTTCACGCGTGATGAGTCAGTGAACACCGCACACACACAGAGAGTTCACGCGTGATGAGTCCGTTCTGCCTGCAGGTTTCCAGAGAGCCGATGCGTCCGTCTTGTACCGCATCTCGCCTCCCCCGCAATGCAGATTCCGGGGCCTCGCCCCTGTCGCCCCTCTCTCCCCTCCCATTGGCTATGCAGGTTCTGGTGCTCCCTTAACCACGCCCCCCCTCTTGGCTATGCTGATTCCGGGGCCTCACCCCTCTGTCCCCTCCCATTGGCTATGAAAGTTCTTGTGCTCCGTTAACCACGCCCCCCCTCTTGGCTATGCCGATTCCGGGGCCTGATCTCCCCTCCCATTGGCTATGCAGGTTATGGGGCTCCTTTACACCGCGCCCCTTCCTGGCTATGCAGATTCCGGGGCCCCATCTCCCCTCCAATTGGCTATGCACGT